TAATAATTATGCAAATAAACCTCGTCAGGCTGCGCAAACAGCGATTTTCACTGAAAACGTAAATAGTTTAAGATAAGAGTAATCTAAACCTTCTAAGCGAGATTCACAAAAATGGCCACTATCACCAAGGGTTGAAATACAGTTGGCATTGGTAATATCAATACGTACCGAACCAGCCAAATTTAAATAGAATGTCCAAGAATATGTCATTCTATAGATTACGGTGTGAGAAATGTTTCTTTGAGCTTTTGGACTCAAAATTTTAGTTTTTAAGGCCCTATAATGCTTTGTATTTAGCGATTTAACTGACTGAGTGATGCGGGTTGCATTTGACATGAATATTGGGATGCCTTTTTAAACATATACTTCATATTTTTAAGGTCAAAGTGCAATTCGTCCCGTCTCCGTGAAATTATCTTTCTTTTGAAATTTTATTTATAAAGATTGGTTTCGTGGGAGCAGCAGAAAGTATGTATACTACTGAAATAATATAGGAATAATTAATTTATTTTTGAATTATTTACTAAAAATTATAATATAATATGTCAAAGTTATCAAAATAACAGAATAGTATTTGCGTGACCAAACAAGTACTTTCTAGAATACTGTAGGCACCATTTGAGTCTTCATGAACGAAGTCATCTTTCGGCAAAATATGTATCAAAGAAAGTAGTTGTTACTGTGCTGAAGTAAATAAGAGCGTTTCTCTGAAGGACGAACTCGCGACGTTTCCCATTTTGTCAGCAGAAAACGTCGAATGGAAAATTGCAGCTTCCGTGGAAAAATATGTTACAAAAACACATCAATTTCTAAAAAGGAATTCGCTTAAATACGATGAAATGCACATATTTGAAATCGTCTTTTTAAGCCTATTACGATACGCTAAAATTTAGCATAGGGTTCCATTAAAAAAATTGATCTTATATCTTCGTAGTAAAAAATAGTGCAAAGGTGAAATATGCTCTACTCAAGTAGATAGCCCCTGTTAATGCAATCGACTGTCCAAAAGACATCTTCGAATATTTCACGGTCGTGGAGATACAAGAAGTGTTATCATTTAGTTGTTTCACACACACACACACACACACACACAAACACACACATATGTATGTGTGTGTGTGTGTGTGTAAATATGGTGGATGGTATATGTGAGGACACATATGGTGGATGGGCCTCGCGTCGGTTGCCTCGGTTCTGCTTCTGCTTCAGGAAAGGGCATGATGACGGGAAAGGGATGCCTAGTGCCGGGATTTTCAATGTAAACCTTGCTTTTGTTGGCGGAGCCTCGTCATTACTCAAGGGGAGTTACGGTGATAAAAACGAGAATTATTTTCAACAAAGTAATACAGTTCTTACACTCTACACGACACCACCATAAAAATTCGGCAATAACAAAAGCAGGAATTATAGTGTAAATAATTTAATGTGGTAAATTACCTCGAAGATTGTTTCTTGAATTTTCTCCACAGAAATTTAATTCCATAATGATTATCTCGTGGGCATTTATAACCATGTAATACAAATAAATAAATTACCCACTATCGGTATTGATGTACAGAAATTCATTAATAGTTTGCGAAAAACACGACTATAAAAGTTCAGGTGCCGATCCGGTGGCCGAGATCGCTAAGGTAGTAGTGCCGTTGCGATATCGGACCGAAGGATCGCGGGTTCGAGTCCCGCCTTGGGAATGGTTGTATTGAGTTCGAACTTTCACCCCGATCATCATCATATCGTGTCATCCCCACAGTTACCATACCGTTACACGCAATAGTGGTCGCGGTCGCGTTCGCGACGTTGATGCGACCTTAAATAACAAAAAAAAGTTCAGGTCAGTCAAGGACCTCATATAATGTTCTCCTCATTAGGATTTCCTAGTAGAAGTAATTAATTTCAGAGGTAGAGAAGGTCTCAAATTTTCTCATATTTCTGAGAAAAAAAAAAGAAATGTAAGAGAAAAAAACTTTAGGAATCTAAATTGCCAAGAATATTCAGAACACACAAGAAAATATGCCTCAAAACGAAAAAGTGGATATCTAATGTTGCTAAATTTAGAAAAATAATCCTTCACACATGGCAAACTCAATGTGTTGTGGGTCGGCGAGACTGAAAAATCGACTGACGGCAAAACCTCCGTCCGTCTGGGGTCAACGCTACCGTCTAAACAGTTCAGTCGATTTTCTTCAAAATTTTTGTGGCTTCCACACAGCAGAAAACTGATGATGATGGCTAAGCCATCGAAAGCTGCTTTTTTAATAATTAATATTGTTGGCTATGACGACGCACATAGATATTTTGATTGTTGAAATGACTTGATATTTTGATTGTTGAGGGTACTTTACATGATGCATCAGAAATATTTTCAAAATTTTCTCAAAAAAACGCTCCAATATTTTAATCAAAATTTGTCTTCGGATAGCGTAAAGAGAATGGTGGTTTTGTTGAAATCACAGATTGTTTTTGAAAATAGAAAAGTGCAATCTATTGTGTGCGTCTTTCTACAACTAACATTGAAGATAGATTTTTTCCTTAATAAAATATGTTCCTTAAAGACGGATCTTTCAATAAGTTCATGTTAAATTTTTCAATACTATGAGTAGATTCCGTGTATATTTGCGTGAAATAAAAGGATTTTTTCTCAAAAACAGCTCCAAAAAACGGTAAAAATGGTGCTATTCCCGTTTTGGGCTATTATTCCGTTTTTTCGCAAATTGCAAAAAGTAAACTTTTCAAAACTGCAAAATTGGAGGTAGCTATTTTTGCTTTAAACTATGTGGTAAAAATTCAAGTCTTTAAAAAAGACTATGTACAATGTGAAAAAAAGCAAAGAACTTTCCTTAATTGCTTTGCTAAACCGTTAAGCAGATTTTTTCCAAAGTTGATTTTTCCCAATCGATCTGGCTGATGTCGCTACCACTAAAATTTGAAACCGATATTTCAGTTTTGGAGGGTATTTTACATAAAACCTCTCAAACATTTTCCAATTTTAAAAAAAATTGCTCGACATTTTTTCATTAAATTTTGTTGTTTAATAGTGCGAACGATTAAGGGAAAGGTGCAGGCCTAATATTTGGTGATATCTCCAATTTTTCGAAAATTGAAAAAAAATTAAAATTACAAAATTGAAGACAGATTTTTGGATCAGACAAAGACGTACAAAATAAGGTCTTTAAAAAAGGTCACGTACATTTTTTTGTAGTTTTTGCGTAACATGCGCTTGATATTTATAAAAAATTCTCAAAAACCGCTCAAAATATTTTCTTTAAATTTTCTTCAGATATATAACTAGGGACGGTACGAAATATAGTACTAGTGCCATTTCGGGTGCTGCTGGGTTTCTTCGAAAATTACAAATATAATTTTTAAAAGTACAAAATTAAAAATAGAGATTATTGGCTCTGACAAAGACTGCTGTTCAAAATAATCTCTACACATTTTTTTTGAAAAAAATTAGTAGTTTTTGCTTAATTTTCGCTTGAAATTTACAAAATATTTTTCAAAAACCGCTCCAATTTTTTCCTTTTAATTTTCTACATATGTAATAAGAGACAGTAATAAATATGGTGCTAGTCCCATTTTCGGGTTTTTATAGTTGTTTTTTTTAATTGCAAAAATATTTCAAAATTGCAAATTTGAAGATAGAGAATATTTCGACAAAGTGTGTTGTTCAACATTAGTTATTTAAATTAATAAATAAATAAAAAACTAGTGGTGCTCTAGGATGGCACAGACTCTCTCGCCCTAGTTAGTTTTCTATTCTTTCTACTCCTGACTAGCTTTTGCGGTAGACGTCATTGTTTTCTCGGCTGTTTTCTTTCGTCGTCCGAAAAACAAACTTTTTTCACATTTTCTTAAACACTCGGCTCCGTAATGCTAGAACTGAAACCACCACACACTTATTACTATTAAAGTAGTATGAATCGCACGTAGTAACTGGATATCTGAGGTCACTACTAATTGGAGAATAAGGCGTCAGCTCTTCGAAGGGCAAGTTCGCTGGTTCGAGCCTTGGCCTGAACTATTATTTGTAATAACTCCGTCGGGTTCGGACTCTGCGTTTCGGAGAAAAAAGTCTCTGGTTCGCGAATGGCTGGGGGTAATTATTTGTCACAACTGACAGTTGCCTTAGAAAACTTTAGATAATTTCAGGAACTTTATTGAAAATCATTTAAAGCAATTCTACTTACGTATACAATTTATTAAGGTTCTAAGTAGACATGATATCTGTTGTCGTATATCTGTACGTATTTTTAATATTTTGAAATTTTAAACAGATGTACAACTCTCGTGTTCTGATTGTAAAACATATGTTACATCAAATCAATTGTTTAATATAATATTCAAATCAATATAATATTGAGTAGCGTTTAGAAACATTGCGAGAACGTATGTGCTTTGGCAGCACCACTAGTTTAATAATGTCAGAAATATTCAGGTCGGATAAAATGTTCCCCTCTAATTTTGATGATAATAAACAAAGTCTGAATTGGTTCAGTAACAAAAAGAAAAGTCTTAAATGGTGTTAGTTTCAAACAATATGAGATAATTCAATAATAATCTGGTAGTATCCTCTTCATATTTTGATAGGTATGAGATTAAAGTACTTTTTTAACCTTGATAACACGCAAAATTTTTATAAGGAAACATCAAGTCGATTGGGTAGTAAACATATCGCCCCCTGCATACACACAGAAAAACCCTGGTTGGACCATGGAATAAATTCAATGCCGTTTCAAAGGCCCAACTGAGAATTTTATGAATTTTATTAATTGATTTAGAATTTGCATAATACACTGTGTACTGTTATATATTGTAGTGATCGAAATACTTTCGAAAACTTAGTGGACCATTAGGAACACCTTTCTGATGTGTTATTTCTATCTGGGTAGAAGTCTAATTAATAAACATTAGAGAGTCATCTCAGAACGAAATCTTCGTTAGGCAAAGACAGGGGGAGGGGGCGAAGGGGGTGGCAGAGGCCGGGAGCCGCAAGGAAAAACCGAGCCGGTTGCGGGGGACCGGCCGGAGCCCCTCGCGAGGCGCCGCTTCGCGGGGCGCCGGTGGGCGGCCGGACTTGGCGCGTGGCGGGCGTAGGGCGTTGGAGGGCGGGAGGAGCCGCGGGGCGTGGGCGCGGGCGCCGGTGGGCCCGTCATTGGTCGGCGGCGACGGGGCGAGCGGCGCGGCAGGTGCGAGCGGCGCGGCGCGGCGCGGTGGCGGCGCGGCTGCGTCGCGCTATATAACTTTGACCCAGTGGTGGAGGGACCACGGTTCCGTGCGAGCCAGCTCAGCCAGCCGAACACGCCGCCTCCGCCTCGTTTTCCCTCGCCGCCGCTGCAGAGCGCGTCTCCGCGCCCGAGACCTACCCTTCCGACGTCGACGCCTCTGGCCAGGTAAGGCCGCCGCCGCCGCGTCTTGGGCTTGCCTTAGATATGCGTCGCGCGCGACCCGAGTGCGAGATGTCGCGCACGTCCTCGAAATTCCCTTGCCTCGGGGGGACGCGAGCCCCGAGTCTTGAATTTGATCGCTGAGCAGAGGAAAGAAGCTGCTCTATCATTTTTACTGTTCGAGAGTATAATCTAAAGTAAAACGTAGGGTTGCGAAATTTTGAGAATTAAAATAGTACACGTATTTTGAAAATTTAAAAAAAGTAGCATTTCTTGAATATGTTTCATTCAAACTGTATCTTATTCACATTCTCAGATAAACAGACTTAGCACAAGAAGTAAACGTATTACGAATTTCAACAAAAAATCAACAACTTTGAGACTCCTAACAACCTATCAATACTACATCGCAAACAAAACTTAGTGTCGAATTAAATAAATTATTTTACGCAACTAAATCGCGAAGTGTGAAAAATTAATAAAGAAGTGTGACTATATGGTATACATATTAAGTAATCGCATTTACAAGCATACATTTCTTTCAACTTTCTAAAAATTACCAAAGGAATTTTAAATGGCAACTCTTACAAAATGTTACATTTTGTGATTAATAAATTTGTGTTAGGTATTCATATCAATCCCATAGATTTAAATTTGTTCAGCACTATCTTTGAAACGAGGGAAAGTATTGCACTCGTGCACCAGAAAAAGTGGAATTTTCAACAGAAACATTTTATTCCCCCACCCTGGTATCGAAAAAGTGGATAAATGTTCTTCCTATGTATAGTAAATTACGTTCTCTAACACGTTGTTTAGTCAGAATGCATGTTTTGTGGGTCCTTGATACTGAAATATTGATTGCCGGCAAAACGTCTGCCTGTCTGTCCATTCGTCTGAGGTCAATGCCTGAACCGTTCAAACCATTTTCTCCAAAACTGATATTCCCCGGCCGATTGAACGAATTCGTGACTTTACGAGTTTGAAACAGATATTTTAATTTTTGAGGGTACTTTACAAGAAGTTTCAATAACATTTTCAAAATTTTCTCAAAAATTTTGATAGTGAGATGATTATACCTGAAAAAATTTTCACACATTTTTGAATTAGCTTTGTTCTCCGATAGTACAAAATACGTTTAAGAGAATGAAGCAGGTCTTACATTCTTAAAACAGCTGATTTTTGTAAAATTGCATATCCCTACAATTACAATATTGATGATAAAGATTTTTTTGCTCAATGAAATCTGTTTTTTAAAGACAGATCTTGAAATAAGATCATGTTCTATTTTTGGAACATAAAAACAGTTTACGCGAAATTTTGCCTAATATAGGTACCTTTTTATTTTTTAAACATTTTTCTCAAAAACGGCCCCAAATTTGTCTTTAAATTTTTCCTCCAACAAATCAAAGGACAGTAAAATAATGACGTTACTCTCATTTTCGGAGAACTCTCCGTATTTTAGAAAATTGCACAGGTTTGAGGTCTACAAATTGAAGCAAGAATTTTATTTTAAATAAAATCTGTTCTAAACAATCAACTCTTTAATAAATGGCCTTTACAATTTTTAATGAGTAGTTTTCACGCAATTTCTGGTTAAATTAATGATATTTATAAAACGAATTTTTTTTCAAAACCCGCTCCAAATTTTTTTGTTAATATTTTCCCACGTACAAAACAAGGGATGCTTAAAAGAATGATGAAGGTTTCACCATCGCTGATCTCTCTGAATTGTGGAAAATCGCGCGTGGAAATATTGGGTTGACATATTCAGATTTTTATGCGTCGACTGGAGTTAGTACGTCAGAGAAGCCGCTTGATGCAGACGTCAGACGCACGGCGACTTAACTCGGAGGACCTGATTTCGAGTCGTGGTGCCGAAAAACAAATTGCTGGTTGAATTCGGTTTTTGCATTTTCATGTGGTAGTATGTTGTGGAGCCTTGGCAAATAATATGAGAAAGTGTGTGAAGTAGTAGCATCACAAGTTCTTTTTGCCTTGGCTGAGAGGGCAATTAAAATTTTGATGATACGATTTTCCTTATGAGGCAAATAGAAGTGTGATCGATTTTCCAAAAGCAGGAGTGACTTTAAGTAGTAATGTCCGCAGAGGATCACAGTGTAAAAAAACGAACATTAAAACGCATTCATCTTTCAGCAGAAATCCATTTGAAACATTTTCCCGTATCCATGGAGACATCAGAAAAAATGGTTATTTAATGTTCATATGTGACAGCAACCACGGAACTCTTGATATAGTATGCTTTGTTTATGGTGCTACGGGAAACGTCAGAGCGAATTTCATCTCCATATACCTTTCTGATTGGAATGTTTCCGTGTTTTTGTTCGTTTATAAATCTTCATATTGGAGATTCTTGAGTTGGAATACGTTATATTTTATTATCTGATAGTTATAAGAGTTGACATTACATAATCTATGCACTCGAATCTATTACTAAAAATGGCTAATTAGTACATTTGCATTTCAACCAATGGCAGCTCGTGGTCCTACTATTAAAGTGTGCAACATCTCTCTTCTCTCTCTCTCTCTCTCTCTCTCTCCCTCTCTCACATATTTATATACACACGCACATACAGACATGCCCATTCATATAGGCATACGTGACAAGCATTCACATATATTCATTATTATAATTACAATTAAACACAAGGCATCTCATAAAGTTTGATAGCATACTGAACAGTTCCTTTTATCAGCAGTGAGGATTGCTGCGTTTCTTTTCACAACACCAGCTTCGACTTCGATCGGCCAACACCCCTCCGAAATATTTACGACTTGGGTCGGATTACCGCATGATCACTGGACATGTTCCCAAATCTGTGTCACTGCTTCTGTCACTTCAGTAAACACTGCTTCTTTTCAGCATTTTTTCTGTGATTTTTTCATTGATATCATTTTCATGATTTCGACGCTATTCATTGTTAGTTAGATAAACACATTTGACATAAAAACGAACTCTCTAACTAAGGTTTTTCAAAATGAATTAAAAAGTAGAATACTACATATGTTTACAAAATACATTTGGGTATTCACATGCTTCGGAATGGGTTTGTAATTGCAACATGCTTTAAAATATAAGATAATGTGCATATAACATTCGATTAACTCAATATTTATGACTGCATCATTCCTCAGCAATGCGTTCGCGTTTCGCGCGCTAGCAAAGAACTGCTTTGGAAGGGTTGATAGCTCATTTGAGTAGAGAGATATCTCACATTTTCTTCTTTCAGTGTTTCACTCACTTCCCTTAAAAAGTGGCGCTATCCAAGTGTTGTATGTTCGCGACGTGTCAAGGCGCTCGCCGATAGCAACTGCGTCTGCGAGGTGGCGATCGCGTACATCAACCACCGTTGCTCTCCCTCCTTTCCCTGCAGGCCCAAGACATCCCCGACGCCTTTGGCCTGATCACATTTCCTGAGTGTGCGCCGGCTGTCTGTCAGGAAGGGCACTGGCGGCGGCCTGTCATCGCAGCTTCCGAACGGAGCGTGTATTGAAATTCTATGTTGCGGAAGCGCTCTGAGAAGGCTTGTATTCGATGAAATGGATTAGTATAAAGTAAGGCTTGAAGCGGGCAGGTAGTGACTTTTTTATTTAGATGTTTGTGCGTTGCTTAAAAAAACACTTCTGATAATTAAAATTCTATCACACGATTTCGAATTCATTCAGATCAAATTGTATTATGTGTAGTTGCAAAGTATATGTTTGATCTTTCTCTCTTGATTCTTCATACAAATTAAATTTTCTCCCCTCTGCATAACTAACAATAACCCATTTAATTTCACTGGCATTTCAATATTTTGCTTTTAATTTTGTATTATAGACAATAATTACACATTTAACATACTTTGATTTGCAATGGAGAAACATTCTGATTACCGATTAGTGTCGTAACGTTGTGATCACTATTTCACCACTGCAATTATATATTTCGAAAACGACAATTTTGCTGATGAAGCCAGCAAGATTACTATATTAACTTTCATATATAGTTGACAAGAACAAGCCTTATCAAAGACAATGAAATTTTAGGGGGGATTAAAGCGTGGCGTAGAAATTAAAGACCAGACAGGAAGACCTCTGAACCAAGGGCAATCTGAAAACGCTTCCTGTTAATTTACCTTCCAGGTGTATCAGCAGAAGCAGATGCGGGAACATTGCAAATTGATGTATTATCATTCCCGCGTAATTCTCAATTAGATTCACGAACTTGAGACTTCAGAACAACTGCCGAAAAATAATAACAATTGTGCTAAAAGGAGGCTGCATTTGAAGATAAATTGTGATGTATCAAACATTATTGTTTTGCACTTTACCTGATGTATTTGTCCTATGATAGGGATGGATTTGTGTTGTAGTAAATAAAAACTGACTGTCTTCAAAAGCAAATTTGCAAATGTTTCAAACTGCTCGATTTTAGTAATACTAAATGCAGAAAATGCGTACACGAAAGACACAAGCACTTACAGGCGCGAAATTAGGAACATTCGATTAGAATAACCCTGACGTACGTCAGCAATGCACAGGCGAGCACCATCTTGAGTTGCACAAAAGCACCATCTTGAGTTATGGGATTTATGGCTATACTCAATGCAATACATGTGTGGTAGAACACAAACAAAGTAAACTTAATATTGTCTAACACAAATTATGACTATTCCTCATTACCACCAGGTTCAAATAGCTCATTCGATTCATTGCCGATAAATAAGTCGCTATTTCCAGATTATTACGATTTTCGTTTCTGGTTTCACAACTAAATAAAATGTAGAACCTTCTGAGCTTAATTTCCATATCGCAAGTCCTTTAAATAAAACAATCAAAAAATTTTAATTTTTTCGATGTTGAATTTGAATGTTTAAAAGTTTATCTAACATTTTTGATCGATGTGGTGATAGTTGCAATTATTATTATTATTATTATTATTATTATTATTATTATCATTATTATTTACTATACACTTAATTCACGTCTATAGATGTTACGTGTCTGTGAAATATAAAATCAACGCCAGGTTTCAACCATCTTACTACGGAGATTTAGTGAGTGAACGCTTCCCTTATACTTTGCCCAAAATATGGGGCCCAATAACACGATGTGTGTGTTTACACCCCACATTCGCCTGATCTACATAGCCAAACTCTTGCATTTGAAA